ACAATCGAAAAGGCAGAATGATTATTGGTAAGGTAAAATTGGAAGTTAGCTGAAAAGGCAGATAAATTGTTGCTAAGAATGATTTTTTTCGACTGCTTCCCTCACAACATTAGTGAACTTACTACAACTATGCGTCAGTTACATGCAAAATGCAAATGCAAATGCAAATGCAAAAACTAAACGTACATCTGTTGTCCAGTTAAGAAATTAATGATATCTGTAATTAACTTTAAATCCATCTTAAAAATTAGAAAATATATTATTAGTTAGACATTTAATGATTGGTCCTAACGTCAAAGAAAATTTAATCTGAAAAATGTTATGGTTTAGATATGCTTTAGCTATGAGTCCATTCATTGCACCAAAAATAATTTAAATCAAAAAATTTATTTAGACATCATAAAAAATTTCATGTTGCCATATGCAAAAAATTGATTTGCAAATGAATCTTACAATAAGATATCTAAATATCTCGATCTGTTAAGAAGTGTTTTAAATCACAAAAAAAAAATAAAGTCCTCGATTGGCCATCACAGAGTCTAGATCTCAATCCTGTTAAACATTTCTGGGATTATATTGAATGGCAATTGGTTGGTATTAAACCCACCAACAAAAATCATTTACTTGCTTTTGTTGAAGAATGTTTTAACATTGTTCAGGATGTTAACAATTTATTTTAAGTTGATGTCTTATCACTGTGATGCTGTTTTGAAAAAATATGGATGTGCCACCAAATACAAACTGTTTTGTTGAAACTAGCTTGAACAAAAATTGAATTTTAAAATAAATTTTAATCAAAACTCAGTTATTCCTATAATAAAATAATAAATTTTAATTAACCGCTATAATTTATGAATTTTGCAATTTGTATTATTATTTGAGTTAACATAGAGTACACTTTGATTTCTTATTGCACAAAAGTGATATATTCACCTTTTTTTAAAGTCATGATATTGGTATCCATGATATTGGTATCCATGGTATCCATGAATTTTTCATTAAAAGCAGAATCTTTAAATTAAAACTTTGTATTGTCATTATACTTAAAATAAAAACAATTTTAATTTTTACAATAATTTATTCTTATATTTGTGCACGAACGTGCAAAGTTCAGATTTGAACTTTATTTTTATTCAATAAATACAAATTTACATTTATTTACTTAACTTCATTAAAGTTTGTGAAAAGTGCTTTAAGGCGGATTATTACCTAAGAGAAATTTTCCACAAAAAAAGTTCAGAAGGTGGATTAATTTATTTGCGTTTTTTGCTCAAATATTCAGAACAATTTTTTCAATCTTTATTTATGAAGCAATTTTCAGGTTTTAAATTCAATTTTTAAAAAAAAGCTCATTAAAATCGGCGGAAATTAATAATATTTGAGGGGAGAGTAGTAAAAAGATGACACATACTTTCCCTAAACAATTATTTTGCCAGTCGGCAAATACAAACCTTAATTAGTAAAAATCAGAGATTGAGGACCTTTTTTAAAAGTTGACAAATAACATTACCATAAATTCCTATCTAATATCTCTGTTTGTGCCAGAACTGTTTACCATACGAATTTTTTTTTTTTTTTTTTTAATGTTGATTTAGGTGCCCCAAGAAGTCCTTACGGTCTTATCACAGAGCACCGCGGAAGAGCATTTAATAGGAAGTTCACGCCTCCTTCCCAACCGATGTCGGAAAACTTGCCCAGAAGTGGGGTTTGAACCACGGATCTTACGTTTCTGAAGCAAGTGCGCTACCACTGCGCCACGGCTGAATATATATACGGCCGGTATTAAACCCTAGTTTTATTACATTATGTTTTATTTTGATTATAAATATTAAAATGTTTGTGCAAAAAAAATGCAAAACGTTTTAATAACTTCTAATATTTCTTTTAGTTTTTATTTTTACTTTTGAGAGACTTTTAAATCA